GGGGGTTGCCTGAGCCACGGACTTCTATTTCTTTTCCTGAGATATGGTACCCCAGACTGGGCAAAAGGGGGAAGGAAGGACTATGTGTGTTTGTGGGTGTTTTAAGGGACTTTGGGATTTTGATGAAGACATTAGGTCACTATTTTAAGTCTGTATAGCATTAAGTAAACATTTCCTTTCCTTTTCACGAATGTCTAGCATTGACAGGTGTCTTTCCTATAAGATGGCGGACATAACAAACCTGGGGGTTTCCTTTCAGTAATAGTATATTGCCCTTGGCCCCATTGTGTTCTGTAACAGTATCAAGTGCTGACAAGGATGTGGAGGAATCAGAACCCTCATACATTGTGAATGGAAATGTAAAAGGATGCAGCCTCTGGAGAAGAGTCTGGTATTAACTGAAAAGTAAACCATGGAATTGTCATATGACCCAGAATTTCTTCTTATAATGTATGTACTCAAGAGAATTAAAAACAAGTGTTCACACAAAAACTTATGCAAAAATTGTTCATAATAGCCCCAAAGTGGAAACATCCTAAATGTCTATCAGTGAGGAATGGATTTACAAAATATAGTATACCCCTATGATAGAATCTGTTGAACCGCACAAAGACATGAAGTAGTGATACATGCTTCAACCTGAGTGAATCTCGAAAACAGTATGAAAGGGAGCCAGATGCAAAGGGCCACATCTTACATGATTCCATGTATATGAAATATCCAGAATAACAAGATATGTAGACACAAATACCATATTAGGGGTTGCCAGGAGCTGGTGGGAGGAGGAAATGGGGAGTGACTGCTTTTCGGGTACAAGGCTTCTTTTGGGATGAAGAACATGTTCTGGAATTAGCAACAATGGCCACACAATTCTGGGAATATAGTAAAACCCACTTAATTGTATAATTTAAAAAGAAGGATGGTATAATGTGTGAATTATACCTTAGTAAAATTGTCTCCCCCAGAAAAGGATTGTGCAGACTTTGGAGGATGGCTGGGAGTGTACACCCTTGAGCCAAGGGCAGATGTGTGGAACATGAACTTTGCTATCTCCTTTTAGGCTCTTCAGAGGCTTTACCCCTTTCTGATTTAAGCACATTTTCTAGATTGTTGCGACTGTCAGATAAATGATTTTCCATTGAGGTCTATACTTGAGAAGACAAATTTACATTATTTGTTTTGACTTACAATTTTATAAAGTGGTGTTTTTATAAATATCACTGTTGCTGCCATTTATGGCACTGATCTACCCGCTTTCTCTGTATTAACCTATGTAATTTACACCATAACCCTTGAAGGTATTGTATTAGCCCCATTTTACTGAAGAGGGATCTGAGACACAGAGACCTCAAGTAACTTGACCAAAAGCACACAGCTAATTAGTGGCACCGACAGAAATTGAATGCAGACGGTTAGCCACCAGCACCTGTGCTCCTAATCTCTACGCTGCATGATCTTTAAGTCAATCAAAACCCTTTATAAAGAGCTTCAGTCTTTACAGGATTTTGAGTGAGGTAGAAATTATCGTTGTGAGCTGAAACCGCATGCTTATTCATAAACAGTGGATGAAATAGCAAGTCACTGATTGAAATGTGATCTTGCCAATGTGCACAGCCAAGGCAATAACACTAATATAACTGAGCTGTCCATTATCCCCACCCGTGTACCCTTTTTTAGGCCTTTTCTCTCTCTCCTCAGGTGAGATCTCTATTGGGCCCTGTCTCCTCTGAAGGTTGCTGCCCCAGGGCCACAGCTTTCCTCTGGTATGTAGACTGCCCCCACGCAACAAACTTTTGTGAGAAAGGTTACACAAAAGAGGTTTGGAGAAGAAATGGCTTAAAATGCCCTATTGCAGTGCTCTGGCAAAAAGAACTAAGTGACATTTTTATTCCAAAGGGGGGAAAATTGCCTGATAGCATGAGTCAGCGTGTACTACCACCCATGCCAAATGCTCATTCTTGTTTCAGCTCAGAGGTCTCAAGTGGGTGAAAACAGCTCTTGTTTTTGGCTCAGTGCTTTGTGTGGTAGAGTTAGATGGATGCTCTTTAAATTCTATGCATAGGCCAATTAAAATCACTAAGCAGTTCAATCTCTTTTCTTCCATCTTTTTTCCCCTCAAGTTATTTTATTCCACAGAAAGTATACGTAGTTAAAACTCAAACTTCCCATCACCTACCTACATTAATGCAGAGAACGGGGCAGGGATTTTGCACAGTCTTTTGCACATATATTTACTGTCAACTGACTAGGAGATTTAAGAGTTTTAGGCATCAGTGAAAAACTGGGTGACTTTCTGAGTAGAGTGGAAAGCAGATGGCTACAATTTGTACCCTAATTCATTCCATTGGGTAGCTGGGAGCCGAATCCCGCAGAAGCAGAGACCAGGAAGGACAAAAGTGGAGGTGAGAGTAATGGAAGTAGGCTGTTTGTTAGTGGCAAAGATTTTCCTCTGGCACTTTCGGGTAAAAGTGACTTCTTGAACACAGGTGTCAATTTATCTGTTTGAATTGATTCTTTTCTAAAGGATGGGAATAAAGAGAAGGTATGTCCATGCAGGTATTTCCCCTTTGTGAGGTCTCACCATACAGCTCCAGCCCAGAGAGGCATCCTGAATAACACGCCTAAAGTAATCCAACTGGTTAGAGGATGGCAGGCCCCATGGGCTGCAGATGAGAATATGTCTTTAGCATTTATTTTGACTTAAAATATATAACTCATATACATTTTGCCATTCATCCCATTGCTGGGTCTTTGATTTACATGGCCCTGCGTCCATACTGTTTCTTATGCTTGGAAGGTCCTATCTCACCTACTTTCAACGTCCATCTTTCCATGTCCACACGCTACCAGTTCTTCCAACCACAGTTCAAAATCCAAATGCTATTGGATTATCCATGTTGGAAATAATCTCTCTCTTTTTTGAATACCCAGATGCACTGCTTGTGACTCTCTCACAGTGCTGGCCACTTTATACACTGTCACCCTTGTGGAGTAGGCTGCTGTGGTCACTACTGGAACCATAAGCTCTGTATTGTCCATAATGGCTGCACAGGGCCTGGTTCAGAGAATGGGCTCAATATGTGGTGAGGAAATGAATGGATGAATGAATGAATTTCGGGGTGAAGAAATATGCTTGAGTGTTTGACACTGATACAGTTTTCCAAAGAGCTGTAAAAATGTACACATGAGGCCAACTGTTGGCCAAGACATCCAGTGCTAACATGACTCACTAAATTTTAGTCAACTGGGCTGACCCTTGGTCCTACCCTTTACCAGAAACATCCTGGTTAAGGGATAAAAGCAGCAGTTCTCAAGCAAGTTCCTTTAAGTGTGAGAGTGTTCAAATCATTGCTTCAGTGAGTGGATGCCTTTTGGTATCCACTCTGCTTGTCCTAAAAGGCTCTGCAGGTGACCAGGGGTTCTGAGAGAAAGATGACCTCTTTCAGGACTGGGGCTCATGGCAAGAGACTGGACACAGGGGGAGTTACCTTCTCCTGTAGACAGGAGGTGTCATCAGTGTGATGTCATACCTGTGCACCTGGAAAGAGCTGGATGTGGTTACATATTGTCTACAAAGTTTATGTGAGATGACAGGAGTGGAGAGGTGTCCCACTGAGTACCCAAGTGAAGGTGTGTTATGACTCAAAAAAGTGAAGGTTAAGTGTAGCTGGAGGCTGTTGAAATAGGCACTGAGGGGAGCGCGTCAGTGGTCAAACACTTTGCTGTGACTGCAGAGTATTTACCAGTTTGCTATTGGGTGGAATCAGTGACTTAAGTAGTATTAGATAGGGACCCCTAATGGCTGGGACCCTGACATGAATGGAATGAAAATTCACACTGAGGCCCCACTCATGCTTTTCAGGTTGAAGGGCAAGTCAGATTTGGCTGTGAAATTCAGAAGCAGTGGGGATAGTTACATCTTCTCTGAATAGGTCTCATATAATGGGTGTCAATCTGTGAAGGCCCTGTTTTCGTTTAGATTGGACCCTTTTTTTAACTAGGGTAGAAGGTGTTACTTATTTTATAAGTAAGGAGGAAGGTCTGCAGGGTAATATTTTCTGAAGCTTACTGTAAGCACAAAATACTTAATTTTATTACTTATTGGGTCAGATAGTCCATATGCACTATAAGATATTTTAGGGCAGTGAGTCCTTAGGCTATGGGGAATGTAGGCAACACAATAATTCCAATGGTGCAGCTCAGGCATATCTGTTTCTATTTTATGCTCTAACTCCCTGTTTTGTTTTGTTTTTTTAACCAGCTTGTCCAAATGTGGGCCAGAAGTGGAAGAGAAAGGAATGAGACTGAAAGCTGTCAATAATCTTAACATCTAGCCCTGGCTGGTGTGGCTCAGGGATTGAGCAGCAGCCTGCAAACCAAAGGGTCGTCAGTTTGATTCCCAGTCAGGGCATATGCCTGGGTTGGGGGCCAGGTCCCTAGTAGGGTGCTCACAAGAGGCAACACACATTGATGTTTCTCTCCATCTCTTTTTCCCTCCCTTCCCCTCCCCTCTAAAAATAAAAATCTTTAAAAATAGTCTAATGTCTAAAATGGAATCAGATTCATTATCACACACTGCTACCCCCCACATACCACCCTGCTACTCCCCATTGCCCCCACCGCCAAACACCAGCCAAACACCAGTTTCTTTCCATCCTTGCCAGTATGAGAAAGTGTTAAGGAAAAACTCCATCTTCAGTTGTCAACTAGTGCTTATTCTCAGTGTCTGGCTCACTGTGGACTGGCTGGCCTAGTCCCCAAACTTGCAGGATTCTACCTCCCTCCCCTCTCCCATACCTGCCCCTTCCTTCGTTCCCTCCCCATCTTCAGAGAACATACAGAGATACAAACACATTTCCTTTTCATACATGCTAGTATTTTAATCATTGACACAGAATTACTTCATTTGGTCCGGTTTGATCTCTGCATAAAGGACCATCCCTCCAGAACTTTTTTTTTTTGGAGAGGCTGCATGTATTTAAGGGTCTTGGGTTTCTGGTTCACTTGGGGGTGTAGGGAAAGTCCTCACTTTCAGAGAGAGACTCCTCCGTTTCAGAGGGAAACTGCTCACTTGCAGTGCGAGAATCCTCACTTGCAGTGAGAGACTCCTCACTGGAAGAGGCAGAATTCTCACTTGGAGGGGCACAATCCTCACTCGGAGGGGCAGGATCCTGTTGTTCTTCTTCATCCGTCTTGGGCTGATTTTCGCTGACTTTTTTACCCCGCTTGGAGCAGAAGATGATTATCTTCGGCATTTTCCCTCCCTTATGTTTTTCTTGGATCTGCCGCAGGGTTGCCGTCACCTTCTCCGTTAACTTCAATGCCTAGCAAGGAAACAAGATAAACCCAGAAAGACGTTGGTTTTGGGGAGGAGGATGGGAAACAAGTAAGAACGGGGTTGTAAGGGAATGAGAGTGAATTGAGGAGGGGTTTGTGCCAGGCACGGGCAGGGGGGAAGTCTTGCGTGGGGCGTCAATGGGGAAGAAGAGGAGGCATATGAGTAGGGTAGGCTGACCTTCTCCCTGCCTTTGTCGGTGGGCTGGGAATCCCTCTTCCTCTTGACTCCAGTGCTTGGTGTTGGCGTCTCCTCATCCGAATCGGACTCCATAGCTCCCTCCGTTTCCTCGGCCTTCTGGTAGCCTAGTGCCCCACTCTGGGGCTCCTGGCCTCTATATATACCCTCCAGGAAAATGAGGGGCCACGCCCTCAGCTGTGATTGGCTATCAAGGAATTCCTCAGCCAGCGGTAACCATGGAGTGGCGTGACATCACAAAGCCGCCCCCCACGCGCCTCACGTTCCAGGAGGGCGGGGGAGGGTGCCGAGGAGTCGAGCTGCTGTGGTTAGAAAATGGCGGAGCTTCCTCCACACCCGCTAATGGCGTCCCGGATCTGACCTCTCACTCTTCCTCATCTCCTCTCGGTCAGTGCTTGTGGTGCACGTGGCAGGGAGAGGGCGGTTCCTCTAAGCCATGCCCCACAGCGGTCTCCATTCATTGGTTCATTTGTTGTCTCCCAGCTCTCCTCATTATCCAGTATCTCGTGAGTATTTAGTGAACGTTTTATTTTAGAACGGTTTTAGATTTACAGAAAAACTGTGAAGGTAATACCCACGCACCCCACACCCAATTTCCCTTATTATTGACATGTTGCATTAGTGTGGTGCATTTGTTATACGTGTGAGCCAACAGTGAAATAGTTATTCATTAATGTCTGTGCTTTATTCAGATTTCCTTAGTTTTTACTTAATGTGCCCTTTTTTGTCCCAGGATCTCATCCAGGATACATACTACATTTAGTCATCATGTCATGCCTCATGAGGCTCCTCTGGGCTGTGACCGTTTTTAGAATTCTTGTTTTTGAGAACCTTCAGAGTTTGCTTTGTTGTGTTTTTTAACGTTAAATTCTCAGATGTTATTGATGTTATATTTGAAAGTTTGTACCATTTTACCAAGCTCTTCCTATTTCCTCCACCCCTCAGCCCCTGGCTAACACTTTTCTACTCTCTGTTTCAATGAGTTTCACTTTTTGTCTTTTAAATATTCCACCTATAAGTGATACGATGCAGTGTGTGCCTGTGTGTATATAACATCTTCTTTATCCATCCATCTATGGATGGACACTTGCATTATTTATATTGGCTATTGTCAATAATGTAGCACAATACCTATCTAGTATTTTGCTTTGTTTTTTTAATCACTTTTTTGTTATTCTATTACAGTTGTCCCAATTTTTTCTGCTTTGCTCTCCTCTGTGCATTCCACCCCCCTGCTCCCACAGTCAATTCCCACACTGTTGTTCAAGTCCATGGGTCATTCATACAACTAGTCCCTTCCCCTTCTTTCCACTATTGTCGTCCTCCTTACCTCTGGTCACTTTCAGTCTGCTCCATGTTTCCATGCCTGTGGTTCTATTTTGTTTGTTAGTTTATTTTGTTCATTAGATTTCATTTATAGGGGAGATCATATGATATTTGTCTTTCATTGACTGGCTTATTTAACTCAGCATAATATGCTCCAGTTCCATCCACTCCGTCGCAAAAGGTAGGAGTCCCTTCTTTCTTTTTTCTGCATAGTATTCCATTGTGTAAATGTAGCACAGTTTTTTGGTCCACTCATCTACTGATGGGCACTTTGGCTGTTTCCAGCACTTGGCTATTGTAAATTGTGCTGCTATGAACATAGGGGTACATAGGTTCTTTTGAATTGGTGACTGCAGATTCTTAGGGTATATTCCCAGCCATGGAATCCCCTGGTCAAATGGCAGTTCCATTTTTAGTGGGGTTTTTTTAAAGATTTTATTTATTTATTTTTAGAGAGGGAAGGGAGGGAGAAAGAGAGAGAAACATCAATGTGCAGTTGCTGAGGGCTGTGGCCTGCAACCCAGGGATGTGCCCTGACTGGGAATCGAAGCTGCGATGCTTTGGTGCACAGCCTGCACTCAATCCACTGAGCTACACCAGCCAGGGCTCCATTTTTAGTTTTTTAAGGAAACTCCATACTGTTTTCCACAGTGGCTGCACCAGTCTGCATTCCCATCAACAGTGCACCAGGGTTCCCTTTTCTTTGCATCCCTGCCAATACTTGTTGTTTGTTGATTTATTAATGATGGCCAATATGGTAGGTGTGAGGTGATATCTCATTGTGGTTTTAATTTGCGTCTCTGATGGCTAGTGATGCTGAGCATCCTTTCATATGTCTCTGGGTCCTCTGCATGTCCTCCTTGAAGAAGTGTCTGTTCAGGTCCTTTATCCATTTTTTAATTGGACAGTTTGTCTTCCTGGGGTTGAGTCATATGAGTTCTTTATATATTGCTACCTAGTATTTTAGATATGTTACCTAAAATCCCACAGAGCTAAGTACTGATTTTTAAGTTTCAGTAAAGGAATGAATTATCACTCTTCTCTCCAACACTTGGCTCTTCCAGACAACTTTCCAGGTTGTATTTGGTGCGTGCATGTGTGTGTTTGTTTACTGGATATACTTCAGTGGTTTTCTTCTCTACTCCCCTCATATTTATAAGCTTTTTCTCCAGAGAACCCCAAACCAAGTCAGTGCCATCAGGGTGATGGTCCTCCCCATGGCAATGGCTGAATTCATCTGTTGGCTTTGTCACAGGGATGCTATGGATGTTTCTCTCTAGAGCTGAGGATCAAGGTCGTGTGTGTGTGTGTGTGTGTGTGTGTGTGTGTGTGTGTGTGCGCGCGTGCACGCAGGGGCACAGGCAGCAGTAGCAGAAGCATTTCGTAAGGTCCTAGTGAGTCTCTGCTTTTAGGGGTGTGACTTCACCCTCCCACATAGTAATGGCTCTTCCTCCATGAGTCACTACCCAGTGCACCAGTGTATTGAACAGACTCTCCAACCAACCTCTGTCTAGAAAGGGAGCCAGCAACAGGTTAAAACACAACAAATATTCACAAGGTAAGAGTCATTCCCTTAGGCATAGTGTCAGTCACATCTTGTTTTGGAATCAAGACGTATGCTTCAATCTGAGACAAATAGGTCCAGGTTGAGACACATGATTGGACTACTTTAAGGAGTCTTTCTGTTGCTATTTGTCAGTTTGCTAAACTGACTTATGTGGGTCAAATCTTTAGCAGATGCCTCATAAGACTCACAATTCAGCACAAAGAAGAGCAGTTGAAAGTACAAGCCAGCCAGCAGGCAGTAGTAGCTCAGAGTGCATGCCTACCAGTGCACAGCAGGGCTAGTTAGGAAGCAAAAGCAAGACAAAAAAGAGGCCCAGTGGTAGTGGACAGTACCTTGTGATGTCCTGCTCACAGGGCCAATCGCTGTGATCACTCCACAGAGACAGGATGGACCCTTCACCCAAAATTTGGTTTGGATGTCAATACTGATGACACAGGCACCAAGAGAGTGTGACAAGTTTATTAGTCACATAATGGGGCTCTCTGGGGAGAGCAGGGAAGGCTCTCAAGCAGGTTCAAGAATGGTTTGAGATACACTTGCAACCAATATAAACTAATATTGAATGCCCACTGTAATTTAAAATGAAAAAGAATGGCTTGAGGGAGCAGAGAAAGGAGGCTTGGCTTTGATGCGGGTAAGAGGATGAACCTGGAATGAGAACCTGTATTCCATACAGGTTAGGGTTTGCATGGTTTGAACTTCCTGCTGGCCTCACAGAAAAGTACACCCAGGCTTTCTTATTGGATATAGGTAAGTCAGGGAAGAGGGAGTGGTGGGGTTCTCTTATGGAATAGTGTGTAAATGCAAGATGTTTCAGCACAATTTAGGATTCTCATAACGTTTAAAACTAACCTTCTTATATTGTTTTACCTTAAGCTGCTTTTCAGTAGATAAGCATTTATCAAATTGTGGCCCTTTAAATATTATCTAAAGTGGCTTAGAATTATCTTGGTTCATCAACAGAGAAACCCTATAGAAAGAGAAAAGACTGCTAGCATAGAAAAAAAGTCTGACACTCTGTCTACAAGATAGCAGACATAATTATACTATCTGCTGAATAATGTAGGGTTTCTTAACAGTTTTCCTATTCCAGGTGATTACTGTAGCACACAAAGACTGTAATAGTAATAATAATAATAGTAATAATAATAATTAACATTTATTGATCACTAACTCTGTGTAAAAATTATACTGTATATTCATGTCCCTATTTAATCTTCATCACAACCCTATTAATGTAAGTGACAGAAGAGCATTTTTTGCCAATCCTGCTGGGATTCCTGTGGCTATCTCTATTCTAATGACAGAAAAAGAAAAGACCATGGTGCAGGGTACATGGGAACATTTATGGGCTAGGCTCGACTTGGGCATGCATTCCTCCTGCTCGGGTCATTGCAAAATATTCACACAGCTACACCCAGCTGCCATATAAAAGGAGAAATGTAGTCTATCCAGAAGAGGAGGACTTGAAGTTTGGAAACCAGCTAGCAATTTCTATCATCACTCTCCTGTTCATTGCTGTCCCCATAGTTAGAGTAGCACTTGGCACATAGTAAGTCAGCACAAATATATCTTTTAAATAAAGTGGTTTGAGTTTTTTGAGTCAGTTATGGAGATCAGAAACATATAGGACTTGGTTAAGCAACGGGCTTAGATTCAACACAAAAAGTGTAAGCAACAAAGACTAAATTGAAATATGTAAAATTTTTAAAAATTATTTCTTCTATAAAAAATACCATAAAAAAGTGAATAGGTGCCCCAAAGAAAGAAAATGTTCGGAAATCATATATTTGATAAAGGTCTAGTATCCGGAATATAGAAAGAACTATTATAACTCAACAACAGAAATACTAATTACCCAATTGAAAATTAGGTAAAAGAGTTGATTAGACATTTCCCCAATTAAGATATACAAATAGCCAAAAAAAGCACATGAAAATATGCTCCATATCATTACTCATTCAGGAAATGCAAATCAAAACCACAATGAGATACCACTGCACACCTGCTTGGAAGCCTTTAACCAGAGAAATAACAAAATACAAGCATATGAATGAATTGAGACCCTCATACACTTCTAGAGGGAGCATAAAATGGTGCTGTCTCTAGAAAATCGTTTGGCAGTTCCTTAACAATTTAAATATAGACTTCCTATACTGCCCAGCAGTTCCACTTCTAGGTATATAACCCAAAAATTTAAAACAGGAGGAAAAAAATCAGGTGAATGAAGCGTTA